GACCTGGAAAGGAGGCAGTGGGCAGCGGGCATTAAATCTAAGAGTCAGGTCTGAAGGTCTATAATATAAACACTGGCACTCCACGCGTTTCTCAAAACACCCAAAAGCGTTGGCGCCTTCTTTGCACCTAGATCGCTGTGGCCTCCTCCACCCAGCAGGTGCCTGCAGCGCTGCTGCAGAGCCAAAGCGATGCAGCAGCACCTGCATGTCGCATCATGTGTAACATCATGCAAATGACTGTTGAAAGGAAACAACTTTGGGTCTCAGTGGTTGTCAAAATGGCTTTAGCAAGGCGAAGCTGTGGGTTTCGATGCTTTGGCAGCAGCTCGTCAAGCAAAATGCTGCAACCGAGCAGAAATGTTTTGGGTTTGGCATGGTTTGGTTAATGAGAGCGTGCAACCCATGGCCATTCGTTGATGCTGTCTGCTGTCTGGACCAGGTGAAAAACAAATGCACTCAGGCTCAATCGCTTGAAATGTCAACGAAGTGCTGAGACCTTTGGCACCTCATCTATCTCGGCACCAAGGCCTGCAGCGCCACTTCCTGCACTTGTAGGCGCATTTCAAGTTGAAAGCACCCAACGCGTCACAACGGCGTTCTCATATAAGTATATATATATATATATATTCCCTCCCTGTGCCTTGTGCTGACCTGGATTCGGTGGTCTCACACAGGGCAGCCATTGCCAAGCCTTGGACGAAGCGAAAACTGAAGCTGCCTTCGGGATGCAACAATGCTGACTGGCTGCGAGGACAGTCAAAGAAAAAGACACAGGGCCAAGCACGGAAGGGCAAAAGGGGAAGGCCCGCAAGCTAAGCTTGACAATTTGTTTCTAAATTGGAGCTGGATGCGGTGACAACTGTGAGAAGAACTGCGAAGATCAAACAAAACACCTGTGGAAGTCTCAAAACATCCATCTTCTGACTACCTTTGTAGGTAATTAGGATGCAAGTTGTGCTTGTACGCAACAGCGTGACGACCGAATGTCATGAGAACATGTGAGAACCATCTCTATATATAATATTTTTCCGGAATGCGTAGCGAAGGGTTCTCGTTTAACTTGGGAGTCTGAGGGTAGAGCTCTGTTTGCCCGGCGTTGTTTTCGAGTTCGCAACCGTTTGCAACCGTCCGTATGATGTCTCTATGGCCCTGCCATTGGAGGAAGCTTTTGCAAGTGACTTTTCATGGATGTGTCACGTGTCAGTTTGCGCCGCTATTGCATTGTGATTTGCATGAAAATGACATGTCGCGCAAGAAGCGTGATGCATTTCGCTGCACAGGCGCAGGGTTTTGTGAGATCCGCAGTTTGCTGCGCAGTTCCATTGGTATTAGCGTTTGGAGAGTCGTGTTTTTGGGGTGTTGGATGTGGCCGCGCCATTGGGATTTGCGTTTCAGGGTGTGGCATCGAAGCTCTGTTTTCGTGACAGGTCTCAGCTGAAATGGCGATTTTGGTGGATGGGAGTGTGCTCAGAACGGGTTGGAATCATTCCAAACGTGTGGCGTGGTGCAAATTTTGTTGAAGCTCACATGAGATGATATTGTCACTTTTCGTGGCAGGCGCAGTACTGTGTGCTGGTTTTGAGGGGTGGAAGTGCGATTTTCGTGGTAGGCGCAGGGAATCGTGAGGTTGCGAGGTGTGACGGAGGTGACATTTCGTGGCAGGCGCAGTACTTTGTGCGCGTTAGACGTGTGGACGCGGAAAGATTCGTGGCAGGCGCAGGGAATCGTGAGGTTGTGAGTTGTGGTAGAGGTGAATGTCGCTGTCACATTGGGATTGGCGTGTGAGTGGGTGTTGTTTGGAGTGGCTGGAATCGCGAAACTGCTTGGCAGGGCTGCGTGATGTGTGTGCTCCGATGGGTGTTTCCGCTTGACTTTGGAGGAAGAAGTCTCGTACGAAACGCTCGTATTGCAGACTTTGACGTGTGAGTTTTTGAGGAAGTCTCGTACGAAACGCTCGTTTTGGACCCTTGACACGTGACTTTTGGAGGACATCTAGTACGAAACGCTCGTTTTGGAGACTTGACGTGTGACTTTTGGAGGAAGTCTCGTACGAAATGCTCGTTTTGGAGACTTGACGCGTGACTTTTGGAGGAAGTCTCGTCGCGTACGAAACGCTCGTCTTGCAGCCTCGAAGCGTGACTTTTAGAGGAAGTCTCGTACGAAGCGCTCGCGTGACTGCTTCTAGTGTGTGGGCAGACCGTGTGGCGACACGACGTTCGTGATGTCACAGTGCCATTGGGATTTGCGCAGCCTTGGTGGAAAGTGCGTTTGCGTGGCGCCGTGCCACTGGGGAGCGCGAAACAGGGTGGCGTAAACGCGGCGTGTCACTGGTGAGCGGGGTGATTTGTGGTATCATGTGATATGTTTGCTTCAAGTGTGTGGGCAACCGTGTGGCGACGCGACGTTCGTGTTGCAGTGCCTTTGGGTTTGCGCGGCCTTGGTGGAGAGTGCGTCTAGCAAGAGTGTCTAGCAAAGAGTGTCAAGAAAGAGTGTCTAGCAAGAGTGTCTAGCAGAATGTCATTTCAAGAGTGTCCAGCAAGAGTGTCTAGCAGAGTGTCCTGCCCAGCAAGAGTGTCCAGCAAGAGTGTCTAGGAGTCTAGCAAAGAGTGTCCAGCAAGAGTGTCTAGCAGAGTGTCAAGCAAGAGTGTCAAGCAAGAGTGTCTAGCAAAGTGTGCCAAGCAAGAGTGCCAAGCAAGAGTGTCAAGCAAGAGTGTCTAGCAAAAAGTGTCCAGCAAAGAGTGTCAAGAAAGATTGTCTAGCAAAGAGTGTCACGAGAGAGTGTCAAGCAAGAGTGTCCAGCAAGAGTGTCTAGCAGAGTGTCAAGCAAGAGTGTCCAGCAAGAGTGTCAAGCAAGAGTGTCAAGAGAAAGTGTCAAGAAAGATTGTCTAGCAAAGAGTGTCAAGAAAGAGTGTCAAGCAAGAGTGTCGTGTCCAGAGTGTCCAGCAAGAGTGCGAAGCGAGAGTGTCCAGCAAGAGTGTCAAGCAAGAGTGTCAAGAACAAGTGTCAAGAAAGAGTGTCTAGCAAAGAGTGTCAAGAAAGAGTGTCTAGCAAGAGTGTCAAGCAAGAGTGTCCTGTCAAGAGTGTCAAGCAAAAGTGCCCAGCAAACGTGTCAAGCAAGAGTGTCTAGCAAAGAGTGCCCAGCAAACGTGTCAAGCAAGAGTGTCAAGCAAGAGTGTCTAGCAAAGAGGGTCAAGATAGAGTGTCTAGCAAAGAGTGTCTAGCAAAGAGTGTCAAGAAAGAGTGTCCAGCAAGAATGTCCAGCAAAGAGTGTCCAGCAAGAGTGCCCCGCAAAGAGTGTCAGGCAAGAGTGTCAAGAAAGAGTATCAAGAAAGATTGTCTAGCAAAGAGTGTCAAGAGAGAGCGTCAAGCAAGAGTGTCCGGCAAGAGTGTCTAGCAGAGTGTCAAGAACAAGTGTCAAGAAAGATTGTCTAGCAAAGTGTGTCAAGAAAGAGTGTCTAGCAAGAGTGTCGTGTCCAGAGTGTCCAGCAAAGAGTGTCCAGCAAAAGTGCCAAGCAAGACTGTCCAGCAAGAGTGTCATGAAAGAGTCTCCAGAAAGAGTGTCTAGGAAAGAGTGTCCACCAAGAGTGTCAAGCAAAAATGTCTAGCAAGAGTGTCTAGCAGAATGGCATTTCAAGATTGTCCAGCAAGAGTGTCTAGCAGAGTGTCCTGGCAAGAGTGTCCAGCAAGAGTGCCCAGCAAGAGTGTCAAGCAAGAGTGTGTAGCAAGAGTGTCAAGCAAGAGTGTCTAGCAGAGTGTCCTGGCAAGCGTGTCCAGCAAGACTAGCAAAGAGTTCCCAGCAAAATTTCAAGCAAGAGTGTCAAGCAAGAGTGTGTAGCAGAGTGTCCTGGCAAGAGTGTCCAGCAAGACTAGCAAAGAGTTCCCAGCAAGAGTGTCAAGCAAGAGTGTCTAGGAAGAGGTTTTGATTGATACACGTTTGTGCCCTTTGCATTGTCCTCTATACATGAGTGACTGCATTCGGGTTCGTGGGTTCTATCAGGCTTTTATATGGTAGCGGTATGTAGCGGTCGTAGCGTACGGCGCAGGTTTCCGCTCAGTGACGTCTTTGCAAGACCGTATCGAAATGAAGCCACGAGCAGCGCTGGCGGATCAGTTCGCTTGCCGGTTGTTGGGGCACTTCCTTCAGTGGCACCGCCAAGTAGAAGTCGTTCATCTCCAAGGTCCACTCCGCTGAGACCTGAGGCGTCACAGGCATCGTTCGATCTCCGAAACACCAGGGCTCTGAAGAGGGAGGGGACTGAGTAGGGGCCATAGCCGCAAAGCGACGGCTTCTTGTGGTTCTGGCGGGTCTGGAAGATGAGAAGTTGAAGAGATCCTTAGGAAAGCTGCCTGATAGTCGAAGGTCTCCAGCAGCAAGACCTCGCAAAAAAAAAAAGTTACCACAATTGCATCGTTGATTGGTACTTCAATTGGGACAGAGAATGACAAACATGAGCGATGCTTCTTAAAAGGCCTGTCCAAATTCGTTCCAGCTGTATGGAGCTGTCATCACTGGGCGCCTCCAGCAGGTGCCTTTGCAGATCGAATCCTAGTTGCTGTCGCCTTGCTGCGGCAGGTATGCAAGCACGCATCGGAGATGGTGATTTGGTGGAAATCTGTGAGAAGAAGTTCTCCTGCCGGCAGGTATGCACGCCCGTTCCACCAGCGGCAATCGAACGTAACCCTGAATACATCCATTATATACAGCATCTGGATGATCAGGACTACATCCGTTATATACATCCATGATTTACCTGAATCGGATTTGTGCCCGTGGATGTGCCAGTGTAAAAATTAAAGTGGACTCACGAACTCTGTAGCACCTGCAGTTCTTTGACGTCATTGACGGGCAGCAGCAGAAAAAGCATGGAGAGTACTGGCCAGAAGCTGGATGAGAGCTGCTTGTTGCTGGATGCGGCCTTGACATATTCCACCACAGCTGTGAACCTTGGCCCGACTTGGTAAAGCAGCTGCATCCAACAACTACACATACACACACAGATTCAGTTGTATAGTATACCCGGCTCTGTCCTCTCACAGAGGTCACAAGAGCACGAAGAAGAAACGTGCAAATTCAAAAGGCAGCTTGGATACTGCGCCAAGAGTTCTGGTGTGCATTGATGTCGATCTAAAGCAGGCAACAACTCGACAATGCCTGGACTGGCAAGTGAGCACTGCATCTCGGGGCACAACAAGCTGCACCACCTGGCTGCGGGGCGGTAACAGTTGTGAACCAGGAGGCCAACATGACTCATGTCGTATCAAGATCCGAACATGATAATTAAGTGCCAAAGGTTTGCAGGATTGATTATTGAATATTATTGATGATGATTGTCTTGCTCGGCTGCCCTCCTTCTGCAGAGTGGGATTGATTCTGATGTCATAGTCATGAGTCATAGTTATTTGTGTCCAGAAGATCTTATTTGCGTTCATCCGTTTCTCAAAGGCTCAAAGCCAAGAGACACAGGAAGCGAAATTCGTTGACCCAGCCGCGCCCAGCCATGTGTATTGAGCAAGGCTGCAAGAGCAGTGTGCAAGGCTGGGAGCTCCTGACACAAAGCGAGGCAACTCAACTCCAGAGCTTGAGTTGGACTGCTGTGACTGGGAGGGTGGAACAGGAAGTGAAACACAATGGAAATAGCAGCCTGGGCTTCCAGAACCCACACATTGCAAAGACACTGCCATTGCTACGTTCTACCCACAGGAAAGCAGGCCAACAAACAGCCATGTCCTTGCAGCCCTTTTAACAGCCACTTTACACGACACGACGCCCATAGCCGGTCCATCTCCACCCGGGCTTTCGACAGCTGCCGCAACACAGCAGCCAGAAGCTGCACTAGCAATGGGTCACTCAAACAGTGCTCCCGCTCTGCAAAGCGCACAAGACACCTCCACGTTGGAAGTCTGGTATGGTAAGGATGTCAATCAAAACAAGTGTTTGAAGAGGTTTCTGTGGAAGCCTGCTCTTGGCAGATTCTAGAATATAGCTGTTGCGAATCAATTGTAACGGCAAAGGGCTGTGATTCTCACAGCGACGTCCGACAATGGAGGAAGGTTGGGCACAGCATCCGGCGTTGCAAAAGCACCTACTAACAGTTACTAACACGAAACAGCTGAGCTCAACGCAAAGCCCATGGCAAGCATCGACGGTCCAATTGCGTGCAAATCTCGTTTGTCGCGTCGGTTGCAGATCCATGCGATTGCCTCGGAGCATCTCATGGACACATAAAGGGTTCGCACGGCCACCGCACGCACACGGAACGCAGGAACGCAGCATGGAACAGTATGGAACAGATATCCAAGTCCTTCTGTTGCTCAACAACTCGGGTCAGAACAAACAATAGGAGAACTCATCATTCCTGGTTCCTATCCCGTAGGCTTGCACCGCTTGCTGTATCTCATTTGATATTAAAGCAGCTAGTCTGAGAACAGGGTTGAACAAATGAAAAAACATATGGCCGGTAAATGGTGCATTCATCGCAATTCCATGGGGGCCCGCTTCTAAATCTCCTTTAAACTCCAACCGCACTCAAACCACAGGGATGTTAAACATGAAGGCATGTCAACTGCAAAAACTGTGAGAGGTGTCTAGCGTGGACCTTTTCAGGGGCCTGCTCCTCCTGCTGCTGCTGGACTTCTGCAGTTGTTTCATGTTGTGTCCAATTGTTGTTCTCAGAAGTCTTCAGAACGACATAGGACGGATGTAAGGGTTGACTCAAAAGATTTGAGTAGGGGGGGCCTTGCAACTCTGGTGCACCCTGCAAAGACCTCACATCGCACCTTGGCTGCTGTACCTAGTTGGGCACTGAAGTGCCGCCGTTTAAACATACCAACTGCAAAACTTATCAAACTGGCTCCAAATTTCTAAAGTGCTTTTGAGTTCCTCAACTGCTATCGAGTTCTTTTGCACTAGTCACTAGTCACTAGGACTTTTCCACTTGTACATAGAATTTGTCCAGCATGGAGGATCACAACACAGCTGTACCACCTGAACATACCTCGATGTCAACGCACAGCCGGAGCTCCAAAGCAATGCTGCCATCAAGTCTGCCAAGCGGGTGCGCAGCAGTGTACTGCGGTCTTTGGCACCGCGCCAACGGCTCTGCTCCACACTAGCATTGGCACGCGCATGGAGATCTAAAGTCTCGGTCACCAATGGCAGGAGAGTTTGTGCCTGCTACAGCGCTTGGCGATCAAGTGAAAAAGGTAGGCCACTGTTGTGTGAGTTGTGTGCATAGAAAAGAAGGAGGCTCCACAACCTCCCATAACACACATGCACAAGGTCATAATGAAACGCGCTGCAAAGCCGCTGAATTGAACAACCTGTTGACACGCCAAACGGAAGACAAGTTCTCTCTGAGCTCAATCACCTCAGGCTCAAAAGTATTCAAAAGCGCTGATCTGCCAGGACTGCTCCAATCCTTTCATAAAAGCTTTTGCACTTGTTCCACGACGCTAGTTTGATCCATACCCTAGCTTTCCAGAAGATTTACTTGCGTTTATTAAAAACTTTAGCCGAAATGACGACGACAAAGAGAAAAAATCTCGTGCTCGCCACTGGCTACACGCAGGTGTTCTGGATCATGTGTCCCTAACGAAGGCCTCTCGCTTTGGCAAGGTCACACCCAAGTTCAAAGCTAGCCGCAGCACAAGTTCCTAAGTTGCTTATTTCGCCAGGACTGCTAGGACCCGCGGCTGCGCAAGCCATAAATTCAGAAACACCCGAAACACGCAAGTCATAAGACACCCAGCACCGAGCATCCAGTTGATCTATATTCTGCGGCTGTGTCGGCCACGAAGCAGTAACTTTTCCCAGCAACATCTCTAGGTGCCGTGTGAGCCAGTCTCTGAACGCGAACGGAGCACGAAGGGCCGCAGCTGCCAAGCAGTTTGCTGCGGCTTGCCCGCAGCTCTGCCTCAACCAAAGCCCAACATGTTCACACCTTCATGATCAATCATTCATTGTGCAGTGCTGCCATGGGCTTGGTGGCACTTCAGCAATACTGACATGTGGGACATCCGTTGACGCATCGTGACATGTTCAACACTGTGTCAGGTTGGGGCCATCAACACGCAACCCTGTCTCCAGAAATCGTGCTCTCTGAGACATGCTGGCCAACTCCCATTCCGAAGACCTCACAGTGTTTCACCAAGTTGCAACAACGCCAATGACCGCTCACAAATGAACGGCAAGTCCCCCACAATGTCACCATCCAAATGGCGACACAGATTGGCTGCAGCATCCAAAGCGATGCCTTGTGTGCGGGAACTGCCGGACACCTGGCAGAAATCATTTACAGTATGCTCGCAAGCGATATCGGGTTTGCAACCCAACATCCATTGTTTGACATTCTATATTTATCACCAGACTCAACTTATTCCGGTTTTTGGATCGGTTCTTCGAGCCTCCAACAAGGGTTTCCAAAGTCGCTTCACAGCGCTGCCACGGAGCTCTAGAAGTGCTCCATGCTCTGCTGCTTCTGACAGCGCTGCGGCAGCTTTGCCTCAATTGAAGAGCATCCCCAGCAGGCCACAAGAGACGTGATACAAACATGGTCAGAAGCAAAGTCCGCATTCATCAACTGCAGTATCGCTCAGCAAATGCGTCTTGCTGCGGTCTCTAGGTCTCTTTGCATTGGGGGACCAGCACACTTGGCCAGTTCCAATCCAATAGGACAACAAACAGCTTCTGGTAAAACCCACCATGTTCTATGAGGGGGCCTTGGGTACGGTGCAAAACGAGTTCTTCCACCCTGGCAAAGCAATGAGACAAGGCATCCGCAGCATAAAAAGGTGCTGTGCATGCCATATCCTGCCGAGCTTCAAAAATAGAACAATGACTCCGGCTGCTTGGCTCCCACAATCTCGCTGCCTCAAATGCGTTGGCTGCAGGCCAAACAAGCACAACTTTGGAAGGGCTTGAAGACTGAGGGACCTCCCAGGGACGATCAGTCTGAAAAGCGAGAATCACCGCAACTCCTCTTTTTGCAGGCCGTTGCGGTGACGAGTTTGTTTAGAATCTTGTGTGTTCGCTTGTTTACTCCATTGTCCACTCAGCCATGTGTGAAGTCTGAACCGCTCAGCATCTTACGCAAGACTTCCTCGATGTGCATCCAAATTCGCCTCAGACATACAAAAATGTAAGCCACCATCTAGGCCCGCCACAAACATGCAATTCTCAACCAGGCAATCTACACATGTTGCCATAGCTTCAAAGCCCCACTTGCAAACAAGGAGCTGTTGCGCTTTCACCAAGGGTGCGGTCGGTGCTGTTTTTCGCAACCGCCTGCGACCCATGTGCTGCAAAACCTGCTGCAACACCGCGGGACCATCGGCTTTGAAGGTGCCTTTGCGACCACCTCAGCTGTGATTCAGCAAATTGCTGTCGCGTGCTTTTCAAGAAGCGCACTTGAGGACTTCACGATGACAACTCATGGAGAAGTCGTCCTTTCCCTGTGAAAATCAAGATGTAATGTACTCTACAACTTTAACTCAGGGGTCACGTCACCTTGCAGTCAAAGCACCCGAGTCTGCAAGGTCAACTGATATCGACTGCATTGGATTTGCACAATGGTCCAGTGTTAGATTTTGCATTTCGGGTGTGCAGTCCAATAGGCCATCAGGGGTTTTGCCCATGTCTATGTCTATTCCTTTGACCAGGTCTGGCTGGAGGTTCCTCAAAACTCAACCGAGCCCGGGCCCTGCGTTTCCTCAAAGCCCAGCCTGCTTTGAAAAGGGCCTGCAACTGGCGCTTGCCATACTTCTCTAAGACTTTCAGCACTGCTGGCCAAACTTCTGGATCGCCGTCCGCCTTCTCAAGGTTTCCTTGATCCTCCAGAGGGCATGGTGCATGGTGCATGATACGACACGCCAATCAAGTCAATGTACAGCACATGGCTCATCATGATATGATATGCATGTTGCGCTTTTTGATGTTGGCACGTGCTGGCTAAAGGGCACCCAACTGGAAATTATTCACAAAGCTAAACACAGAAAACGGCCGTGTTTGTTCCCAACATCACCGATTCTCAAGAGTGAAAGAAGAATACACCCAAGCACCAATTGCAGCGTGCCGGCATTGCCCAACCAAAACGTCGCCTCTAGTGACTCTAGTGGCTAACTGGTCCAGGAACATACTTTCTGATATCAACATTGTCAATGCAAAGCAAAGCCATGCAAGAACATCTGGGCCGTCAGTCTGTTCCCTTTTCTCCATTGTCTTATGGTTTTGTGATGTCTTTTTTGGTGGCTCCTTTCAGCAACTTGGCTACTGAGGACACTAGGAGCAAAGGGCATCGCTACTAGGAGCGATCGGACGCTACGAACGGGGCTCCTGGCCTTACTACGAACGGAACAAGAAGCTACTGTCCTTTTTTGCATTCAAGAATTCTTCCTTTTGCTGCATGCCTCGGTCCACCAAAGCCCCACTCGCCTCAAGCCACCCCTTCAGTGCATCCAGTCCGGCAAAGCTTTGCGAAGCAACATCAGACTGCAATTTGTCTAGCGCATCCGCCAGAGATGTTCTCTCCATGAGATCGCCCAGCATGGCTGGCAGCAAACAGCATCCGGGAATGCATTAAAGCGTGTTGAAGCATTGCAGCCTGCATTAATCCAGCTCAGTAGGGCAAGTGGGAAGGTCAAATCTTCATGGCGAGAAGAATAAGAGTAATAATAGGATTATATGCAAGAAGTGCCCCAGAAAAGCCCTTGCCTGCTTCTTAGCTGCTTAAGCTTGGCTACCAGCTTAGCTGCTCAGGAGATTTGCTGACATTAATCTTCTGCACACTGCTTGGCAATTCCAAGGTTGTTGATCTGACTCTTGCATTTGGTCCGTGTGACGGGCTACTTCTGTTCCTTTATTATGTACCAGCTGTCAGCCATCGACAGTGACAACGCGCACCTTTTCCTGAGGTTGACAAAGTGCCCAGAACACTGGCCTGTTTGATGCTTACCTGATCCAGCCATATGTTTGCATTGCTTCGGGGAAACCAGTGCCAAGACCCCCAAACCAAAGACAGCTGGGGTGCAACTTCACGTGACAACTTCCATCATGCCCGAAGCTGTTCCAGAAAATGCAATCTTCATCTTATTCTGCAGCTGGGTATGGTTCCCGGTCCTTTTCCTGTACACTGGTTGCTTGTTTCTCTATACAGTAATTGCCTGAAGATCGATTAAAAAAAAGAGGAGGGAGTTATATTCTATATATATATATATGTGTGTGTGTGCGTGTATTTATATGTGTATATATATATATATTTATATGTGTGTGATTGTGTGTGTCTATGATACTTTAGAAATATATATAGAGAGAGAGAGGGAAAGACGCGTTTCTCTCACGTGGTTTCCTCCTTTCTGTCTCCTCACCACGCGTAGACCGGTCGGGCCTCTGGCACCACTGGCTCGCTGCAGCTCTCGCGGCCACCGAGCATAGTAAGCCGGGCCTGGCAGCCGATCAGTTGCAACTTCTTCCCAAAGCCACTTGTTCTCTGCGTTCGTTCGCTATGTTTGCCCGCACAAGTAGGCAATATTCAATATTCATCTGACCTTGTTCCTAGATGCGGGTGAAACATGTTGAAATTAAATAGTCCGATAAGTTGCCTTTCGTCAACCAGCTGCTAAAGGGCCCCGGCCCCAGGTGAAGACGTAACTGGGCCCGTCCACACCTGGAGATGCACTTAAACATTCGTGACAACTTCTGTATCGGGCCATTCTGTAGCATGGTGTTGTTACAAACTTGCCAACCATGCCAAGGCCTTGCTTCAAACAAAAATAATCTCAAGCCAGCCATAGCCAGCCTCTGAATGTATACAAGCTAGGTAAACGCAAGAACTAGAATAATGCCGATGAATGCATCTGATCTTTTTGATGCCAGGGCCGAGACCAGTCACCCCGCCCACTTGCCTAGCTGCACTTTGTCACCACTCTTCATGACCAAAGCAGTCCTTGTTCGATCAAAATGATGAGACTCTAGACTGAATATGCTTCAGGCAGTGCTTCAGGCTTAAGGGGAACCCTGAGCAGCCACTAGGCAGCAAGCGGCCAGTCCACCCTGGTGGTTCTGAATCTAGACTGCTTTGCTAGAAAAATGCCACTCAAAGAATGTCGCTCGAATTTGCTGAACATTTCTGTGAGAAGTGAAGAACCCAACCCAGCAACTCTGTGGTCGTTCAGGAATGTTCCATTGCCTCAGCAATCAACTGCTGCCGCGATGAGCAAGCTTCCAGCGTGCTAAGTGGAAGGATTAGAATCACTGAATTCAGTGGAAATGCTTGATGGAATCAAGCTCAGTTGCCAACGAGACCCGATGTCGCGAATACTTGCAGTGCCGTCCGACGCAAAGCCTTACACGAACTCTTCGCTGGCTCTTGGTGTGCAACCGATGCATCACTGCAATTCTTGGCCTTTCAAGGCAAAAAGGCACTATATAATGGCACAGGCTGAGATCAAGTGTCGTAGGGCCACTGCTGATGCACATATGGCGATTGGAGATTGCCTGCAACGGGCAGTGTGTAGAAGTTGGGCACGTGGCATTGTTTTGAGCCAGTATGGGTCCAAGCCCTGGCAGCCCAGGTCGCACAAAACCGTCATTTTAACACTGATTTGAGGAGAACCTTTTTATGGTTGTCTTTGTTCTGTATGGTACTGTATGTATGTTCGGTTCATGCTGGGCTCGGCCCTTTTGCAGCTATAAGCGATTCATGATGTGGAGGAACTGGCTGTAATTCACTGTTCACGGTTTATCGGGCGTCGCCTGTGAGCCCGGAATGCAGGTGTCACACGCCTCAAAATCACCAGCTCCAGCAGGATCAATGATATCAATGCTACATACATATATATTATATATATACAGTATTATATCGGTTGGCAAGTTCAGTCCATGTCGACTCCAAGGGCACGCTCCGTCCTTGCTCCTAGTAGCGATGCCAGGAGCCACTAATAGCGTCCTTGCTCCTGGTAGCGATGCCCTTTGTTCCTAGTAGCTTCTTTGCTCCTAGTAGTAAGGCCAGGAGCCCCTAGTAGCGTCTCCATGCCGACTCCAGGCGGACGCCCCAGTTCAACCAAATCTCTAATGGATCAATCCTCTTGGTTTGTGGCAGTGCTTCGGCCAATGACATTCTCGAGACCTGCAAACTGTCACTCCGAGTCACGTATGTCACGATATTATCATACACTTTTTTCTTTTTGCTGTATATAACTTGAAACTCGTCTCAGCCAAAATAGGGTACGTGCAGTCAATGTCACCATGTTACACCTAAATTGAATATATATTGAAATCTGACGAAAGTCTCGCCCGCCAAGCAAATTGCGCGTACCGATGGGCTTCCGCCAAAACAAGACATGTACGCTCTGGGATATGACTACAGTCTGCTACAGTGTGGGCATTTCACGCCTGGAAGCTCAAAAAGCTCTCCTTCAGATCCTCGGAGTACCGCATAGGCCTAAGTCAGCTGACATATGAATGTGTTCTCTTTCTCTTTCGCAGGTCGGAGGTATTGCTGTCGCATTGGCGAGCATTGAGACTTTGAGACTGGGGATCCATCAGACCGTCCACAGAATAACCCCCGGCAGCAACCGTGGTCACGGTTTCGACCGGTTTCGACATGTTTCGACTGAAAACCAACAAGAATCACAAGAATAGAACCTTGACACCTTTGCTGGGATCTGGTCGTTCTCGCTCACATCCGGCATTGGGTCCGGCGGTGGAGGCGGCGGGGCACTGAGCAAAGCAGCGAATGTGTTCAACCAAGTGCCCGTTTGGGGGGACCTGCATTGCCTCAGTGCTTAAGCTTGATCTCGAGCTAGCTTGAAGTCTCAAACGCATAAGCTTAAACTTATGAAATCAGAACGTCAAAAAAAAAAAAAAAAAAAAAACTCCATGTGAGACGGTAAAGAAGCTCCACGTGAGACAGTTGCTCCCATCATTCGCCTTGGTGGTGTGGCTGGGCGCCGCTGAAGGCCTTCCATGAGACGATGAGCAGCTGCCTGGGGTTCAGCAGCTGGTTAGGTGTTTGTCAATCTTTGGAGATCGCAAGCCAATCTTGGCATCTATCTATATCTGTCTTGGAGTGGGACGGCACACGGCAGAGCGCTGATGCCGGTTAAATCATACCAGGCCATTTGCCCATACTAGCTTCTTGTTACTACTAGTAAGGCACCTGTTACTACTAGCGTGGCACTTGTTCCTAGTAGCGTGGCAGCTGTTACTACGAGTTCCCTCATCATCTGGCCCATGAGTTGCCTCCGCTAGCTGCGGTACTTCTTGCCGGAGCCGCGACACAGCACTCTGCACCTGCACCGCGCCCATGGTGCAGCCAGGCACGTTCACTGGAGGTGTCCCAGGCCAGGTATAAAAGGACTATACGGCTCACCAAGGCTTCCTGCCTTGCATGCGCGCCCCCAGCGCACTTCGTGGTTACAGTATATGTCTGCGTGTGTATGCGTGGGTGCGTGGGGGGGGGGGGGGGGGGGTGAACATGACCTTTTTGCCTGAGGAGTCTTTTTAAGGTTGAAGTTTCAGGGTTCTTCATTCCTCGCAAGGAGGACGGAGAGCATCTGAAAGCGGCTCTGTATTGAATGCGGAGCCTTTATTTTTTGGAATCCAGGTTTAGGTTCATGACATGACTTGCCTTGGGACATTGAGTTTGTCAGGTCTTCAACCCCACCAAGCCTGCATGAAGAGGAGATGCAGAGAGCAAGAGGGCAAGAGAGGGGCAGAGAGAGAGAGAGAGACAAACAAAGGGAACCCCCCTTGCTCATGCAAGCATATTACACAGGAAGGCTTGTTGCTTGTCAAGGGGGAAACCGACGAGAACATTGATCTCATTGCACCTCCGAAATTTGGCACCCGAGGCGGCCATGATCCTGAGACGTCCGATGGAAACCCTTACGTATAAGAGATCTTAAGACCCTGAAAACGACCAAAAGCCCTATGGGCCCTATGAAATAATCATCGAATCATCATGTCATAACGCACTGCAGCAACTGTGATGGTGCAAAAAGCTGGAATGGTTGATTGTTGTTGGGATAGCGGGGTACCCCCTCCTAGGACACACCAGTTTGCCAAGCCGTTTCTCAACGGTTGTCCAAAAATGGAAACGATGCATGGATCGAACTGCGATTCCAAAGAAGCCAGGACCCAAACATCATGCAGCTTTTGCATCCTTAGCAAAAGCCACTCGGATCAGTGTGCTTTGCACTTTCTAGTAGCCATGCCAGGAGCCCCTAGTAGCTTCTTGTTCCGTTCGTAGTTAGGCCAGGAGCCCCGTTCGTAGCGTCCGATCGCTCCGTTTGTAGCGATGCCCTGTTGCTTGCCACGCAGCGTCTAGGCCCAGTCTCTGGGACCCCTGCTGCCGCTGCATCTCGAGCCGGGCTGAGGCCTTGGTCTTCTGTGATCTCTTGCCATGTGCCACTGAGTGCCACAGGTTCTTTCATGGTCTCTGTCTTTTATCAATTGCCACCCTTAATTTCAACTGCAACACTTATCCCTCTCAAATCCTTGAGCAAGCATTCAATTTTGTCCCTTTCGGCCCTCTTCCCACCGAAGGATGGGCATTGGTTCACATAATAGAGACTTGCCCTTTGCAATCCTCAATCTGTGCCTGGCCTGTGCTCAGCATGCGCAATTAAAAGTTGACGTCATGTTTCATGATAATTGATTGCATCTGCGGTGTTCGCGAAAAAGAGATCGCTTCAAGTCCAGCCATGTTGCGCACATTGACCTAAGAGCGCCAACGTGGAATGAAACAACCAGCAATGCGCACATGTTTGGTCGCTTGGGGGAGGATTTGGAAAATAAGGAAGTGCTGCATGCGTGGTCTGCTCATGTTGTACAAATTCGCATTATGCAATTCTTTGTCTCAGCCATGGCACTAAAGCGCCATACTCCAGGAGCTTTGTTACCAAGTCGAAGCGATCTTTGGCCACCGCATCATTGATTGCCACATGCCCTTGCTCATCCGCGCTGTTTGGATTCGCCTTACCTTGGTCGACCCGGACGTGTGCTGAAGCCAGGCTTTACAAAATGCGTTAAAAAATACTTAAAAGGTCAAAGTCGCTCTTCAGAAGCAGCTCGGCCGCTCCAGCATGGCCATTCTTCACTGCCAAATGTAAAGGATGCGTCCTCGTGAGATCCTCCACTTTAGGATTGGCACCCTTGTCCAGAAGCAGCCTTAGATGCAGATCCAAAAACCGCTAAGCTGTTCGACGCCTCGCGACGCCTCGTTTGCTGTGCATACCTCGTGAACACCCCTTGCTCCGTGACTGTGAGGAACATGATGCTCCCATCAGCAAACACCATCCAAGTGGTACGCTTCAGCTTACCACCCACTGGCCATTTGGTGTATGTATATATATATATATACATCTCTTGTCACTTCAAGCTCAGCATGCTAGGCTATATAGTTTAAGCTTTATGCGCATTTCTTGCGATACAACCTTCTTCACCTGCCAAACAGCTGCACCACCGAGGCATAGCCCATGAGCGCAGCTGCATGCAGTGCCGTTCTGCGAGTGCCATCGCGGACTTCTGCGCTGATGTCAGCAGATTTCCGGATCCTTTTCTGGGACACGGTGAAACAACCAAATGTCGGTGGACATGAGTGAGTACAGTACATGCTCAGACAGGAAGGCGGTTGATACATGTGGACACTTGTGACACAAATTGCCTCATGGCACCAGGAAGGAAACGCTTGTTTCAATCTTTAGGAGTGCTGAGCGCATGGACCCATTCCTGGTGTCCTCATTCAGCACTCGGGGTTGAGCCCACAACTTAACAACAGTCGCCCAGAACTTTCCGAAAAAAGGCAATCATTCAAAGTGTGAAATGCCCATGAGGGTTGTACTAGTACCATGCCCTCACCTTTCCAAGTCTCAAATACTTGCAAACATCCAAATGCCCAGCATTCGCAGCTGCAATCAAGGGTGTCACTCCAATGTCTGGCTCCGGCAGATTCAAGTCCGCCTTGGCCTTCACACAGGGGGTGCGAATCATCTGCAATTGCCAAAATCAAAGGTGAACGTCACACAATGGTTTAGAGAACAATTAGCAAATGCACAATATGCTAATGTCATTCCTGAACAGTCTGGAAATCTCGGGTCTGAATTCATTGATTTTTGACTCCGTATAGCAACTCAAACGGTGCAGCATGGTGCAGTCTAAAAAGACCCTTCAGCCTGGATGAGTTCAGCAGCAACCGTCAAATTTCCCTGCTCACAAAGACGCACCAAACACTTGGAAGCCAAGGTCATGCCATCAAAATCCGGGACCTGGCGGGGCGTATGACGACAGGCTGCACGAGGAGGACAAATACCAAACCAACTCTTGTGCCTCAAGTATCCTGAACCTACTTTACTATACGTTAATACTATTTTGCATCAATTGCTACGTTTGACCTAGGGCCACCAAGAAATGTTTCACTCGTCGTCCCATGGCTCACCATGGCCCACCCACGCCTTGGAAAAATCTTGGTTTACATCGAACCCATTGTCCTCCTCCGTGGATGTAAAGCCCCGGGGCTTGGGAGCAAAGCTCTGGGTGGCGTTTCCATTTGTAATGGCTGCAGGCTTCGCATCGCCAGCTGCCACATGCTGCGCCAGTATCTTTTTGATCGTGGTCATGAACCTGCGCGTGCACACATCGCAAGCTTCTGCACTCAAAGACAAGTCAGAAAAGCTGAAATGGCACATTGGGTCGCACTGATTGCAAGCACAACTTGTCTTCTTTTGGGGAAGGAGGGGTAGGAGAGGTAGCTAGAAGTAAGAGATAACTGTCGTAGCTGGAGCTACAACCCACCGATTCAGAAGCTGTAACCTAAAGGTTGCCCCTTAATGCAGCCGAGAAGCTGGCCTTTTCGCTTCTCTACAAAACTACTTGATGCAATTCTGGCATCTTGGGAGGCCTGACGCAGCCCCTCTCCGAGCAAACCTCGCAACGTCTCCAAGAGCCTCTGAACATCGCTCTCTTCTGCGACCTTCTGGTAGTTCTCCTGGGGGCAACCCCAGCCAGCGCATCACTTGGCCACTGCTACTGATTGTGTTGAAAAGGTATATATATATATATAGATATATATACTGTATTTATCCGTCCATGTTTGTGCATGTGTACAGGTACAAGCAGCAAGAATCTGCTTGTGGATTTACAGTACGGGTTGTCAGGCAACTGCCGCTCAACCAACAAGCTCAAATGCAAAACAATGTGATGTGGTAGAGGCAGAGGATAATAAGCCTTAAGCCTGCGGGGGTGTCGCATGGGAGGCATGAGTTCACAGTCTCCTGTGTGATTGCTGTCTGGCGCCACTGCTCCATAGTCAGTCCCCCAGGCCGTTCCAAGGATAGTGAGTTTTCAGCTTCGTCCAACGTCATGCCAAGGACAAGTTCATGTGTTCCTCACTTCCACCGTATTGGTCAGCATTGGGCGGCACAAGACTAGTAAGAACTAATTTTGGACCTTCGAACTCTATTGACAAAATACGGGGGGGCCACAAAATACAATTGTTGAATATATTCTCTGAGATCTCCAGATTTTTATCATCGTTTTTTTTTGTCTATGTGTTCTTTTATTTACTTTTTCCAGATAGTTCTTTGCTTGTTTATAAGCCCACATGCATCAAGCACAATCAAGAATCTGAATCCAACCCATGCTTGTCCAAAAATTATTCCGGTATATAATTAAAGTGCACACAATTATTCTCAGGGCGTTGGACATCTGAATGGAGCATTGAACCAATACAAACTCAACAATTATTCCAGGGGACCCTGAGATGAAAATGATCCTGGTCAAAACTATCTAAACAAACAAGAAGAACAGAGGGTCAGGGTCCAATGGAATAATATTCCAATGGGCCCGCCATGACAAATTGGCACAAATGAACAACTTTCTTAGCAAACTCCAGGCTCTTGGATCATACACAATTGGAACATCTCCAACCTGCGTCCGTGGAACCGAGTTGGCTTCTGCCAAGCCGCAGCTGCTGGTAGACACGACTGGTATGCCTCGAAGCTGAGCCTCTGTGACGATTAAGCCAAAAGCTTGTGGATAGACGGATGGAGCGAGTAGAATCTTTGTGATGCTAAGAATGTCCTCGATCTTTTCGCTGGCTTGCTGGATCTTCACGTTCTTGAGTCTCTTGAGCATCCTTGCGTTTCTAGACTACATATTTAGAGACTGCCAAGTAGAGGTGACTGTGGTGGCACATGCTCACGATGGATAACAATTTGAGGTGTGTGTGTGTGTGTCAACCCCGTTCCAAAGGGTGCTGCACTTCTATGTTTTCCTTGTGGAAGCAGGGGGATGGAGAGGACACGTGAGGCTCCATCCAACGAAGCTCCTCACGTGCTCCTAGGATATCATCAGGGACGCCTGATGACGTACCTGCACAAGAAACTGTTGCTCACGCTGTCCAATCTCTCTTTTTGTTTGCATGGTGGTTCCATGATACCTCCCCGAAACCTTTCTTCCGTCAGCCACGTTCGACAGCCACTTTCAGCAGCCGCGCGTTTTCTGCAGTCATGTGCAAGCAATGTTGAACAATACTTTTCCACGGACTCTGCCACCTTTCCGTTCCATCACCATTTCTCCTGGGAATTGAGTTAACAGCAAACCAATGTCAGAGTGTGAACCGCTCAGCCGTCCCACTTGGGTGCTGGGTGTGATCCTCCGCAAGGAGGCGCTGTTTTCATTCCGGAAATCGTGTAACTGCTTCCACCGTTCTTCATCTCTCCTTGGATTATCTTAACCTCTTTAGTTTCACTACTGGATTTACTGAATTTGATGCCGTCGGGCTTACGAAATACTTCCACCTGCATCCCCACTTGCATTTCCATGTGCTGTTTTTTTCAGATTTGATTGTGACGTGCATGAAAGTTTTGCGACTTCGAATTCATTGCAGCTGCACTTTCGAGTTCACAGATGTACCAGAACATTTCACTTTCCACCACGTACGAGACATCACATTTCACATTCTACCATGTATCACCTGTTTCAAGCCTTTCATCTTCCATCTCATTTTCACGCTTGACATTCCACTCCTTCACCATTTCACGATTTCATTCCACGGGTACAAGTAGCAGAGACTTTCAGCAGCTGCCGCGCCGCGCCGGTGCCATTGAGCCGGAACCCTCACCATCACAACCTCCCACTATGGTTTCCCCACAACCACAACCACAACCAGTACCTCATGCACAACCGGCTCCATCACATCCCTGCCAGCCAACACCAATGCAATGGGACTACAGCCAGGGAGTCTGGCAACCATTTTCGGTGTTTCCGCCAGTCACCCAACCGGGACATGTTCCACCAGGCCCAGCTCAACCAAGCCAGAACCCTGCGTCGCCACTTCTTGGGCGGCACCATTACCAGGGAAGGGCAGGGACCAGGGAA